ACTCACAGTTGACTTGGAGAGAATTCAAGAGGCAATTCTTCACCCATTATTTCCTAGCCTTATTTTAAGCAGGGAAAGAGGCGAAATTCCATAGATTTCAACAGGGAAATATGAATGAGGAGGAGTTAATAGCAAAGTTCAATGAGCTATCAAAGTACTCTACTTACTTGAGTCACCACGATGATGAGTACTGGAAAGCTGACAAATTTCTTGATAAGATGAGGCCTGAGTTCAGCCAGTAGTTAGCTTCGTTTGACATTACTTCCTTTAAGGTTATGAGTAACAAGTTTAAAGCTATAGCCAAAAGAAGTAGAGTAGTGGAAGAAAAGAAAAGAGGCAGCCAAGGGAGATTCTCTTCCTACACAAGCCCTATAAGCAGAGTGAGTAAGAAGTTAGGTTATACCCCGAGCATGTTTAGGAGGTATAGTGCTAGAAGAAGCAAGAAGAAGAGCTTCCAAAAGGGGTCCTAATTTAGGGGATCCAACTAGAGGAGAAATGCCCTGAGAAGTGTGGATAAGGTCAGAAATCAAACATCCTAATAAGGATCTACAACTCTATCTGTTATGGTACCAGCTAGAGCTCCGCAGTGCCATGAATACAGGAAACATCATCAAGGGTAGTATTGGGTTTGCTTTAGATGCAACAAGGTTGGGCATATAGCCAAGTATTTCCTAAAGAAAATTCCTGCTCTAGATCAGAGATCTAATATCCCAAGGTGAGTTTTTACTATGACCAGAGAAGAGGCTGAGGCTTCACCAAAGCTAGTTAAAGGTATAATCTCACTTTATGGTCACCATATAGATGCTTTGTTTGATTCTAATGCCACACACTTTTATATTTAATGATTGTGCAAAGAGATTGAAGTTGCATGTACTTGAAATGTCATTGTTCATAAATGTGTCTACATCAGCTAGTGCATATGTGAGGATTAATTAAGCTTATTTGAAACTAGAGCTAAAGTTTGGTAATAGAGTCACTTTTACTGACATAATCTACTTACCTTTGAGTGATATTAATGTGATAGTAGAGATGGATTGGTTGTTTGCTAATGGTACGACACTTGATTATAATAGAAAGACAATTTCCCTATCAGTTTATACAGTGATAATTGTTAACCTTGAACCTGTCAAGTCATTGTTAGAGGTGGGTTATGAGACTCCTAAATTCTTGTCGGCCCTACAAGTAGAGAAGTCAGTGAAAAAGGGTTGTTAGGCATTCATGATCTTCTATTCTATACACAAAATGTTTGACAACGGCATTTAATAGAATTGGTGTAGTGAATGAGTTTCCTAAGATATTTAATGACAGAATGTCAAGATTGTCACCAGAAAGAAAGATCAAATTCTCCATCAATTTAGTACTCGGTACTGAGCCAATCTCTAAGGCTTCATATCGCATGGCTCTTGTAGAACTAGAAGAACTGAAAAAGTAATTAGAAGAGTTACTTGAGAAGGGATTTATTTGGCTGAGTGTATCACCGTAAGGATTGCCTATATTGTTTGTAAAGAAAAAAGATAAGAGTATGAGGTTGTGTATAGACTACATATAACTTAACAAAGTAATGATTAAGAACTATTCTCCGCTGCCACGGATTGATGACTTGCTTAACCAACTTACCATAGTTACAGTTTTCTCTAAGATCCAGATACCATGAGTTGAGGGTTAAGGCAAGTGATGTGCCTAAGACTATATTTAGGATAACATATGAGAACTATGAGTTCTTAGTAACGCCCTTTGGTTTGACAAATGCTCCTACAATCTTTATTAACTATATAAATAGGATCTTCAAACCTTACTTAGAGAGATATGTAATAGTTTTCACTGATGATATCCTGATATATTCTAGAGATGAGGAAGAACATGCAAGACACTTGAGAATAGCACTGCAAGTGTTAAAAGAGCACAAGTTGTATGTCAAACTGAGCAAGTGTGATTTTTGGCTACGAGATATGAAATTTTTAGGTCATGTCATTTATATTGATGGCATAGCAGTGGATCCACATAAAGTTGATGCAGTACTATAGTGGGAGAGACGAACTTCAGTAACCGAGATCAGAATTTTCTTGGGTTTAGCTAGTTATTACCAAAGATTCATCTAAGGGTTCTCTCAGATTGCTTCTACTTTAACAAAGCTAATGAAAAGGAATCAATCATTTGTTTGGATAGAGAAGTATGAAGAGGCATTCTAAACTTTGAAGGAAAAAGTTGACTACAGTGCCAGTGCTAACTATTCTAGATCCCAAATGGCCATATGTGGTCCATATTGATGTATCACTTAAGGGACTGGGTTGTATGCTAATGCAAGATGATATAGTTGTAGCTTATGCATCAAGACAGTTGAGACCATATGAAGAGAGTTATCTAACTCATGACCTTGAGTTAGCATCAGTTGTATTTTCCTTGATGATATGAAGGCACTATCTCTATAGTTCACAACTTTAGGTGTTTAGTAATTATAAGAGCCTCAAGTACTTAATTGATTAGAAAGAGTTTATTATACGATAGTGAAGATGGATGGAATTCATGAAAGATTATAATTTCAAGTTGAGGTACCATCTAGGAAAGGCCAATGTAGTGGCCGATGCCTTGAGTTATAAGACTGTTCATATGGTGTGGTTGATAATCCATAAGTACAAGCTATGGTTGATGATCCATAAGTACAAGCTACTAGAAGATTTCTTTAGTGAACATCAAAATAGTCCAGACTTCGTGTATAACTTGAATATGACGGTAATCACAAATGAATTTTGGAAAGACTTGAGAAAAGCTCAGCTTGAAGACAAGTATCTGTTGGTGATTAGAGATGAGATTGAGGCAAACAAGACCAAGGACTTTTAGGTCAATGATGATGGGTTAGTAGTGTACAAAAACCGGTATATGTACCTAAGGATAAAGGGCTTCGAGAGACCATTTTAGCTGAAGCTCATTAGAGTAAGTTCACCATTCATCTAGGAGCCACCAAAATGTATCAAGACATGACAAGTCGGTAGTGGTGGCCTGATATGAAAAAAGATGTGACAGAATACATCTCCTGATGTCTAACTTGTCAGAAGGTAAAGATTAAACACCAGAGACCCCTAGGTTTGTTGCAACCATTAGAGATTCCTATGTAGAAATAGAACTATATTTCCATGGATTTCATTATTGAATTGCCATGTACCTAAGCAAATCATGATGTTATCTAGATAATTGTGGACAAATTGACTAAGTCGGCTCATTTCCTAGCTATTAGAGTTGATTATACTCTAGAGAAGCTTGCAGAATTCTATATTCAAGAGATTATGAGATTACATGGGGTGCTGAAAGAGATTTGTCAGATTACGATCTGAGGTTCACATCGAACTTCTGAAAAGCACTACACAAGGCTATAGGTATGAAATTGAAGTTCAGTATGACCTATCACCCTCAGATTGATAGTCAAATAAAGAGAACCATCCAGACTCTAAAGGATATGCTATGTGCTTGTGCTATCGAGTGGAGTGGCAATTGGGATAAGCACCTACCTTTGGCAAAATTCTCATATAACAACAGTTTCCATGCAAGCATTTAAATGGCTCCATATGAGGCCTTGTACGGCAAGAAGTGCAGATTGTCACACCTTAATACTAAAGGTATGACCGGCATGAAATATAAGGAGAATTCATATTTCATAAGCCTTAATAACTATAAATTGTGCTAAAATATTGGGATATATATAGGTTATATATAATAATAATGTTCATAAGGTTTTAAATGTTTTGTAGAAATTTTAACAGAGTCTCCCCTATAATTCAAACCTCCTGAAATTTTCACAATAGAACAAAACCTGTAAAGCAGACCAGATCCCAACAATTTACATAATAATGGAATAAGATTAGGACCTAACTATGGCTTACGTGAAGTACTAAGTTATAATTACAAAATATAATACGTAGTTTTACCAAAATAATAGTTGCAATATGCTTCCTCTTTTTTCAAAAAAGCAAACAAAAGGCCCTCAATGATCTGCTAGAGATACAGGGTCAGCTACAATATTTGAGACCAAAGAAATTTTTAGTGAGTAGTGTTCCAATTAGAATTATACATAAAAATTATGAAGATAGAACTAATATATTTAGTCTAAAACAATATCATCAAATACTAAAGCAAATACTTGAACAAAAAATAAAGAACAATTCTTTTTTCAATAATACAATTTTGAAATTAAATGATATAGATTTATTAAGATTTGTACAGCTCATAGAATGTAATTGTCTCAAATACTGGTGGAATTAGATAGAACCCTTTCAAAGAACTAATAAAAAATAATAAATTTTAATTTAAATCTAAGAGGGCTTTATTAGAACGAATAACAAGCGTGGACACATATTTCACGAGAGTAAATAACCAATCAAACATGGACACATAATCCACAAGGGTAAATAAATAATCAAACGTGGCTAGAAGCCACGAAACAAGCACGGCAAAAGCCACAAATTAAATGTGAGTACAATGCTCACGAATATTCATTCCTCCGTTCTACGTGCGTTGGCCTGCACATGAGGCTAGCACCTCCTACAAATACCCTACTAGTTAGGCGTACTATAGTGCACTAAGAGCGAATGGAACTGTCATTAGCAACTAGCGTTCTGAACTTAGTCCCTCCTAATCAAAATCAAGTGTGTATGGAGCAAGAAAACAGTTTCAAAATTGTCATTTTCAAACACTGTTCAACTATCATTTTTCATTACTCAAATTTATTATCATTTTCTCCATACACGAATCATTGCATTAAAAGAAATTTATATCAATGTAGAATTAAATAATTAAATTACTTCTAAGAAACAATACCATTTATCGTACATCCATTTTAATTATTAGTTATTAGCAGTATAAATCAGTAAAAATCAACGCACTATCATTAATAAAACAATTGTTATAAAAATAGAATTACAAGAATATTTATACAATGTATAAAGAAATAATAGTAAAATTTAAATAAAAGAATTTTATAAATACTTTACTAAAAATTAATTTGGAATGCTACCCACTCACCTAGAAGTTTTTCCAAAATTCTAAAATTTGCTTCTCTTACTTTTCACTGTAGTTCTAATGACGCTCTTAACTTCCTGTCAAAAATTACAATCTTAGAGTCATTTATCAAGTAATTTTTTTAATACTTGGTGCACATTCAAATTTGATTTTCAAACTACATCACAACCTAAAATATACAATCCACAAACTCATTATCAATTAACTAACTTATTAATAACCCAACTAAAATAAGAGGAAATATTTCCACCTCTTTTGTACCTTCTTAAAACTTAATGAAATGCCACAATCATCATTTACTTTAACATAATTTACCTTAGGATTCTAATTTAATGACTCAAATTACTACATACGCATGTTCCTTCAAAATTAATATATAAAATTGAACAACTTACATTCCGCCAAATTTTTCTCTCACAAATCTCAAGGTTAGCATTTTAACAATTCAAATATACTTGAATCAAATAATCTATTTGACACATTTTAAATCATCCTTATATCTCCTTATAACCCATCCTCAAGCATAAAGCATGATAAATCATATCGACTATTTTTATGCTTCCTTCAGACTTAATAAATTACTATACAAGTATCTTATTTAATATCTCTCTCTGTTTTTTTCCTATTTTAGTATTTTCAAATTTTAATCAATAACTTAAGCCATTTCTTACACCTATATATATATATATATATATATGTTCAAGCTATATTACATCAGTTTAGCAACATTATTTCTACCTATTTCTTCTTCCAAGCATTTTTGCAAACATATTGGGTGCATCCAAAATTCAGCTCCCAACAGTCATCTAACCAATTAATCAACATCCAACATTAATTTTAAAACTAACATTCAGCTTATCACCAACTAATGTCATACACAGCCTCAACTAAAATTACAACTCAAAAAATATCATAACAGAAAAATGCCATGATTCAGCCAAAGGAGGGAAGGATGATCCTGTGCTGTTATATAACTCAGAGGAAGGAAAAAAATTGACAACTCACCTTAACAAACCTCAGTCGCAACAAGTATGAATCAGCTCATATCCTGCATTGAAGAAGGAAAGGAGGAAAATGCTTCAATTTTCTACATGAATGAAAAGGAGGGAGGCCAAAAATTTCAGTCAGCAAACATAAGAAATCAAGCTACCATACACACATACATGTAATGTTCAGTAGTGAAAAAGGATAAAGAAGGAAGAAAGACATATCAAACATATACACATATACATACACCTCTGTCAGCCACACAACGGAGCAGAAGAGAGGGAGAGATTCAGATGCTTCACCAAACAGAAACAGATGAACAACAAGGGAAAGGAATAAGCTTAATCGGTAGTGAGGAAACACACATAGCAACGGCAAGATGAAGTTTATGTGACGGGAAAGGAGAAGGAAAAACAGAGACAACACGAACGCTCTCTCTCACTCTGTTCTAGAATTCTTTATCGATAATGAGTAAGAAGAATTTAAATAAAAAAGACTATGGGGAAAAATTACAAAACAAGACCAAAGATTGTTGGGAAAAATTACAACAGAATACCCCAAAAGATTTTTATTATTATTAGTAATCATTTTGTATTTTATTTTTTTTAAGGTCATTACACAGATTGCCTCTATGTTGGACCAAGTTGAGTGAAAGAAGAATAATGGGTCTTGATTTTGTGGATCAAACCACTGAGAAGATTGAGACTATCTGACAAAAATTGTTAACCACTCAGAGTTGATAAAAGAGTTATGCAGATAAGAGGAGGAGACCATTAGAGTTTATGATGGGTGACCATGTGTTTCTCAAGGTCACACCTATGACTGGAATTGGGAGGTTTATTTGTGCTAAGAAATTGACTCTTAGGTTTATTAGGCCATTCAAAATTCTTGAGAGAATTGGGCATTTAGCATACCGAATTACCTTACTTCCTCACTTGTCGGGTGTACACAACATATTCCATGTGTCTCAATTGAAAAAGTACCAACCCAATCCTTCTCATGTGATTGAGCCCGAAAATGTAAAGTTATGTGAGAATTTGACATATCGGGCTAAGCCGGAGAAAATTGCGGATGTTAAGGAGAAACAGCTAAGAAACAAGATAATTTGGTTGTGAAAGTCATATGGAAAGGGATGACCTCTAGTGATGCTACATGAGAAACCAAGGAGAAGATGAAATAGCAGTATTCTAACTTGTTTCAATGAGGTATGATTTATTAGCTTTGCTAAAAGGGAGAGTTGTAACAACCTGATTTTTAATTCCCTGATTTATGATGCTCATAAATGTGTAACAAATTCTACAAGTGTACGGGTCGTAAAAATAGTATGTGATAAATTAAGGTCAACCCCACAAAGATTCAAGTTAATTGATAATTAGGCAATAAATTTTTCATTTTCATCTAAGTCAAGCGAAAATAAAATTTAGATTTGATATTGCAAAATAAGAAATTGAAATTATATAAATGCACTAAAATTAAATCCCAACAACTACAAATAGTCAAGGCAACCTAGGGTGGCTAATCCCTTCATCAATTCATAGAACATGTAATTACCAAAATAAATTCACTTAATATTAATTTGCTAATCTAGAGTATTAATAGGAATAATTATCTTTTGATTAATTACACCTCTCTCTTGAATTAATATGCTATTTCTAACACAACTACCCAAGAGGAAAAAATGCATAAATCCATTCTAATATGATTATATGGTCCAATAGGTATATTCTTATCCTATTAGCAAATTAGAATAAATTCTAATCCTATATTACTCAATCTAATGGTCTAATTCAGATTTTCCTCTTCCAAGGCAAAACCTAAACCTCCAAATTCACACTCAATGGTGATCAAGTATTAAGTAGACAAATAAGCATAATATTAAGTAACAAAACTAATATTAAGTTCACATAAATGGTTCAAACATGCACTAATCCAAGAATTAGTTTATAACCACCCTAGACTAAGAGAAAATCAGCCACACATGGCTTTCATGATAGCAAAAATTAGTAATATATATATATATATATATATAGTAAAGTAAAGAGAATGAGGAGAAGAAAATCTTAATTGAAGCAATCTTGAGCGAAATGCTTGATTTTTCACTAAACCTAAGCTTCTCCAACCCTTCTTTGGCTCCTTTTGCTCTTCTTGGACATTCTACAACTGCTGGAGGTAAAGAATGCATAAAAACGAGGTGCCTAAGCCCTAAAAGTTCACTGATAATTAAAATTGTGTGTTTTACTAAAATCACGCTTCGCCACAATGAAACACATTTTTACTGTATCGAACATGAGCTATTCAAATTTTATTTTTAAATTTAATTTTTTTGACTTGGGCTCCAAAATTTTCTTCTTTAAGCCCCTAAATTAGGCCTCCCTATATGTATAAAACCTAAAATTAATGCTAGAATTGCTCCACTAACTTCTAACACATTTCCAAGCACATTTTCACACATATTCATCCACTCAATCATATTTTTGCTAATAAAATTCAAATAAATGACTCCCAATTGCATTAAAAATACCTAATTAGCTCGAGAATTCAAGCTTCAAAGCTATTATATTAAGGGGTAAACCTTTGACATCTCAAAGGTTTGAGGTAACTGAGAAAAACCTTACTTTAAATAGTTATGTGTTAATTGTAATGTGTTGTTAATTATGTGTTTAATATGAAAATTTTGACTTATGAATGAGTACAACATGCAATGAAACCTTATGTTTATCTAATCACTTTGATATGTATCAAACATGCTAAAGAGATTTTAAAATGAGTTTTAAGTTGTAAAAGTGATATTCAAAATGAATTGTACGTTTATAATGTGTTTTAAATGAGTAGTTAATAATAGACTTGATAAAGATGAGTAATTGAGATTGAAAAGGATGTGTTTATGTGATATAAGTGAAAATAAGAATTGATGCTCACTTAGGTGGTGCTCAGTCGTGAGCCCAACGTGTTGACTCTAATATTGAGCAAATGAAAATGTGAAAATGAGTGAGCATTTTTTATAGCATGATTAGTAGGTGGGAGTTTGCCTAGGGACTGGGAGTAAAGGAAAATTCATGTGGTATTTAGGCTGCCTTTTGGTGCACAAAAGTATGGCTGTGGTCCATAGTTTGTCGAGAGACTATCTTATAGTTTTTTAAGGGACTAAAACCTAGCTTTTTGCACTAATTCAACGAGGAGAATAGCTTAAGGTATGAGACACCCTAGAGATTTGAGAGTGGGGGAAGCTATGGTCCGAGAGTGAGTCATATGATCTTTAGTCGGGTCACACCTCATGATTGGTGAGCTTGGGTAGTCTAGTCACAAGGACGGAGCCCTATTCAATGATATAGCATACGGTTTCAGTCTAAGGAAATAAGGAGAGTATAAGGTTAATTGAGCATTGCCTATATAAGTGTATGACATGTCATATGTTTTGAGTTGTGGCAAGTCCTACGTTGTGGTGGGTCATGATCACATGTCTGAGTGTCTTGTGATTATATAACTAATATGTGTGAGATGAAAAATGTGTTAACTAGATTAATGAGTTTTGATATATGCTCAAGCATGTTTTATGATCTTGTTTTCATATACATGTGTTTGATTTACATTTGATATATAACTGCATAGGGTAGTTTTACCTTCGTTACTGGGTGGCTAGACTCACCCCTTTCATTTAACACTTTATAGGCTCTAGCTTTAGTGTAGAGAAGGAGGAGGCTCAAGAGGCTAGGAATTACCACATTCCTAATATATGCCTCTAGTTTATATTGATTTTGTGTAATAGTATATGGTTTCTAATTCTAGGTTGCACATAGTTGCACTTATACTATTTTGTTATTACAAATATCTAAATTATATTTTGGACCCTAAGTATTTGTGTATTAAGAAATATATATATTAATAGGGCAAAAATACTAGTCCAAGTATAGAAATGATGTTTTAAACATGTTACAATAGTTTTTAATGCAATGCAGTGAAAATTTGCCTCCCCTTTTTATTTTTGGTTAAAAGGGTTGATGAGTGATTTTGTGTTATATATATATATTTAAGTGTATGAAACGTGTTGTATTGATTAGTCCTGGGTCCAATGGACATGGTCCAAGTAGTAGGAAAGGCTTTTAGCACTTATTGTGGGTTTTGAACACCCTTTTTATGTGAAAAATGTCAAAAGTGATAAAAATGTGTTTAGGTGTCCAACTTCCTCATGTGACTTGTTTTGAAAGTGAAACCCTTGCCATTAGCTAATTTATAAAAAGAGCTATTCGTAGACACTTAGATCACATCATTCGGATGTCAGATGGAGAATCAAGATGCATTAGAAGTTCCCCCAACTATGCTATCATTTACTTGCAACATGTCACAGCGCATGGCATCTAAGCCACAGTGCTTGGCATAGAGAGCAACATGCTGTGGCGTAATGTGCACAAGTCATGGTGCATTGCCCTGTTTCACAGCAAATAAGTTGTTTTTCAATTGCTTTCAATTGCTTTCACTCTTTTGAGGTATTCCATGGTTCCATAACTTATTTTTACTCTTATATATGAGATTATGATTGATTTAAATTCATTTTGATTAATAAAATTTAGGATCCCTTAATTTTGAACTAAAACTTAGTAATCGCCTTTATATGTTAATCTTTTAATTACCAAGAGTTTTATTAGTTAATTGTGTTTAGTATAGTGAGATATTACAAGACTAGCTTTGGAAGCAAGTGTGTTTGAGGGGAACCCTTTTATCTCTCCAAGGTTTAAGGTAACCAGGAAAAATTTGAGTGATTGTAGAGTTTTAGAAACTTGTTTTGAATATGTGAAAAATCACTTTTCACAATTACTATAATATGAACTATGTTTGGAAATGATGAATTGCAAGTATGGCTTAGAATTTGGTAATCAATGTAATTATATAAAATGAGTATGATAATGTGATATGGCCATGATAATGTCATATGGCTATGGTAAAGATGATTTAGATGTGATATAATGCTTTGAGCTTGAGTAAATGATTATTGGCATGCTAAGTGTGTAAACATGTTTATTGTATGATCACATTGGCGGGGGTTTTTCTTAGGGAGAGGAATAGTTTAAATCCACGTGATATGGCCACCTTTGATACCTAAATGCTAGCCTTTGTCCTATTATTTATTGAGGGACTCAAACCTAGCTTATCTCTACTTATTTCTTGAGGAGACTAACATAGGGTTAATGACATCCCAGAGATTCAAGGGGGGAAACTGTGGTCTAAGAGTAATTATAGTAACCTTTGGCCTAGCAACTCCTCACAATTGGTGAGCTTAGGTTAGTCTATTCATAGGGATGCAATCCTATTTGATTTAATAGCTCAAGGTTTCAGTCAAAGGTATCAAGAGGTGATAAAGAAGATTATTGATCATGCATATCATTGGTATTGGTCATATGGTTGATAAAATTATGACTAATAACATGTTTTGT